GCGTCTTTTCAGAATAGCAATTCGACTTCCCAAAAATACCCTCAACCGTTTTCGATCGAAGAATTTTCTTCGAGTGGGAATAAAGAGGTTAAGGATGACGTTCAGTCTTCTGATTTGTTATGTTCGGTGTGGGAGGCCGTCGGGGCGAGCTCGATTTACCTCGAGCTGCGTATTCGCCGAGTGCGTCTTCATCTCCGCGCGCCGCGGCTTTCGATCCTGGGGACTCCCCTTGGCCATCCTCTCCTGCGGTTGCTTCCCGCCTCCGCGAACGTCAACCTCGCCGCGCTTTATCATCATTACGTACTCGACGCGAAGCGTCTTTCCGCGCGCTATTTAAGCTGCGAAGCACCCGCAATAGGTTCGGCGGTGAATGGGCGTCTTCAAATTTCATCCTTTTCGCTTTCGGAGAATATCTTGCCGCTTCCCTACCGCGAGCAATCCGCCCTCGTGAATCGAACTTGGATCGCGCAAGGCTACACCGATGAATTACCGCCATCAAGTAGCGATAGCGATATAGACGATGACGAAGAAGCGAACGACCATATTGAAGTCAAACCATACAATCAACAAACGCAACCTTTTGGGGTTCGTCAGCGCGCCGCCCTTTTTACTGTCAAGCACGTTTCTTCTCTCAAAAATAAACTTTTTGAAGGTGAGCAGCCCATCGAGGAGGTTCCTGGTGGTCATGTTTGCTCTATACGTTTCCGATTTCTCAACGTTCGCAAAAAAACATCAAATGAAATCAACAGAGAGAGAGAAATGGCGGTTTTAGTGCGAAATCGAATTACGATACACTTACATTGCGTTGGCATTCGTCATCTGCCGGCTCATATTGGGGATAGTTGGATGGAGGTTTTGACGAACTACTTCTCTGATGAGCCGCCGCGAACTGCCCAAGCAGAGGGGATTAATAGGAAAGGGGCGGACGCAGACCACGGGAACATAGGTTCTCCATCAAAGATGACTTTTAATACTAATAGCTCTTCTTCAATGAAGGATCTCAAATCGGCCAAAATGACGACGACAGCCCACACCCATATAAAGCTGGATATTGTCCATGTGATGTGGGTTTACCGCCCGCAGGGGAGTGGACAATCGCTGCTGGTGTTTCTTGCACCTGATATGAGTTTTTCCGCGGATATTCCCGACTTCAACGACGATCCTACTTTTGCGGTGCGGGGATGGTTTTTACGACCTGCCTCTGCGTATTTGTGTAATGACTGTGAGGAGGATGCGCTAAAAGATAATATTCTGAACTGGTCGGGGGAAAACTGGGGCGTGGACCTCGAGCACGCGGGATTTGTCAAGGTGCTGAGCATTGACAGCAGCCTCCCGAAGACCGGCCTCGATCGCAGTGGCGGGGAATGGGGTTTCGCCCATAACGCGAAACGAAACACGCTTTCCACGTGTAGGGGTCGAAAACTATCCCCATCTTGGCGATCAACGGAGCCGAATTTACTCGCGACGATTAACCGTCTAGCGGAGGCGGAGAAGACGGTCGTGGTCCGCGTGCACCACCTGCACGCCGCCGCCTTCGTCGCGAAGGACTCGATGCAGGCCACCCTGGAGGTGATGGCCTGCCTGTTCAACCTGTGGGACTTACGCTACGTCGAGCAGCCGCACGTTCTTGTGATGTGGAGCGGCCCTTTCTTCTCCCGCGTCGGGGAGGAGGTCGCGGCGATGCGGGCCTCGATGACTTATCGGATCAACCCCGCCTTGGTCCTCCTCGGGTCCCCCGCGAAGGACCTGCCGGGGGCCGTCAAC